AAACAACATATTGTCTGTATCATGGGCAGAGTGCTCCCCTAGCCTTGCTTCCATGAGTCAGCATTTCAGGGGTCACAGGGAAGCAAGAGAGAGAGTGGTCAAGGCGTGTGCAGGAGGAAGGGGCCATTTGGATCCCAAATATGTAATGTGGTACGTGTGAGAGGTCTGCTGAAAGGCATGCCAGGGAACATTGGCTTGGAAAGTGTCTGAGGGCATATGGAGTTAGCAAAATAATGCGCAACAGGCTATTTAAGCAGCAAGGTCAAGAAAGAAGAGGAAAAAGGCCTTCCTGGATTTTCATGGCATCCTTTTGTAGAGGAAAAGCATGTTCTCTTTGTACAGTACTTTCCTGTAGAGAAACGGGATAAAGCTTCTCTATCCCTCAACTGAAAGATACAAAAATCCACCACTAGAGGGAGTCCACCCCTTTTCCCCACAGCCATAGACAGGTACTTCTGGTGACCAAGTCCTCATGGGAAATACCAGAGGGCCAGAGCTTTTCATTGGGGGCAGAACAGTACAGGCTCAACTGGCTTCTGTGCAGCTAAGCTCATTTACATGAGCTGAGGAGGGTCTGGCCCAGTGGATCTGTAATGCAGTGCATCTAGGCCGTGGGGTGTAAGGCAAGGGAGACGTCACTGGAAGACTCGATACTGCTTCAACAGACGTGGAGAAAACACACTAGTTCTCTCACTCACTCACACACACACACACACACACACACACACACACACACAAAGACAAAGGTATGTTTGAAACTGTAAGGAACTAGTGTAATTTGCATGGCCCCTCCCTTATATCAATTTCTCTCCTTAATAAACATTATTTTCTTCTCCTAAATCCAGGCCTCTGGATTCTGCAGCATTCCTGTGTAGCAAACTGGAGATTCTGTGGCAGCTACAGATTCCTCCTCCCTCCCCCCCACCCCCAAAATGGAGATCTATATTGAATTAAATATGCAAATGAATAATGCATGGAATCAGAGAAATGTAGGTCGGGAAGAGACCTTAAGGTCATCTAGTCCAGCCCCCTGCACTGAGGCAAGACCAAGTAAACATAGACCAGCCCTGACAGTTGTTTGTCTAACCTGTTCTTAAAAACCACCAATGACGGGGATTTCGCAATCTCCCTTGGAAGCCTATTCCAGAACTTAACTATCTTTATAGTTAGAAAGTTGTTCCTAATATCTAACTTAAACTTCCCTTGCTGTAGATTAAGCCCATTACATCTTTTCCTACCTTTAGTGGACATGGAAAACAAGAGATCCCTGTCTTCTTTGTAAGAGTCCTTAACATATTTGAAGACTATTATCAGGTTCCCCCTCAGTCTTCTTTTCTCAAGAAAAGAACTCTTTTTAACCTTTCCTCACAGCTTGGGTTTTCTAAGCCTTTTATCATGTTTGTTACTCTCCTCTGGACTCTCTCTAATTTGACCATATCTTCCCTAAAGCATGACATCTAGAATTAGACACACTACTTCAGCTGAGGCCTCACCAGTGCCAAATATAGCAGAACAATTACTTCCCGTGCCTAATATATGACACTCCTGTTAATACACTGCAGAATGTGATTAGCTTTTTTTGCAATTGTATCACACTGTTGATTCATATTCAGTTTGTGATCCACTATAACTCCCAGATCGTTTTCAGCAGTTATTCCCCATTTGATTTCCTGTCTTCCTAAGTGAAGTACTTTGTACTTATCTTTATTTAATTTTATCTTGTTGATTTCTGACCAATTCTCCAATTTGTCAAGGTTGTTTTAAATTCTAATTCTCTCCTCCAAAGAGACCTCTCCCACCATGATGTCATCCACAGATTTTATAAACACACTCTCCACTCTGCTATCTAAGTCATTAATTAAAATATTGACTAGTACTGGACCCAGGACTGACCCCTGCAGGATCCCACTAGATAACCCCTACCAGTTTGACAGCAAATCGTTGATAATTACTCTGAGTAAAATCTTTTAACCAGTTATGCACTCACTTTATAGTAATTTCATCCAGACCATATTTCCCTAGTTTGCTTATGAGAATATCATGTGGGACTGTGTCAAAAGCCTTACTAAAATCAAGATCTCTCACATCTACTGCTCCCTCCCCCCATCCACTAGGCCAATGACCCTGTCAAGGAAAGAAATTAGGTTGGTTTGGCATGATTTGTTCTTGACAAATCCATGATGGCTGTTCCTTATAACACTATTATCTTCTAGCTGCTTACAAATATCCAGTGTTCTTCCAGGTATCGAAGTTAGGCTGACTGTTCTATAATTCCCCAGGTCCTCTTGGTTTCTCTTTTTAAGGATAGGTAATGCGTTTGCCCTTCTCCAGTCTCTTCACCCGTCCTGCATGTGTTCTTGAAGATAATTGCTAACTGTTCTGAGATGGTTTCAGCTACTTCCTTAAGAACCCCAGAATTAATTTCATTGGGCCCTGCCAAGTTGAATACATCTAAGGCTATGTCTACATTTATCCAAGTGTCCTTTAACCTGTTCTTTCTCTATTTTGTCTTTTTCTTCTCCCTTGTTGTTAATCTTGTGTTAAGTATCTGGTCAGAATTAACCATTTTAGTGAAGACTGAAGCAAAATAGGCATTAAACACTTCAGCCTTCTTGATGTCATCTATTATTAGCTTTCCTTTCCCACTTGGTAGAGGACCTACGCTTTCCTTTGTCTTTCCCTTGCTTCTAATGTATTTATAGACCCTTTTCTTATTGCCTTTTATGTACCTTGCTAGGCATAACTCAGTTTGTGCCTTAGCCTTTATGCTTTTGTCCCTACCTGCTTGTGCTATTCTTTTGTACTCATCTTTGTCCATGTTTCCACTTTTTGTAAGATTCCTTTTTGATTTTCAGGTCATTAAAGAGCTCCTGATGGAGCCATATTGGCCTCTTAGTATTCTTCCTATCCTTCCTTCACATTGGGATAGTTTGCTGTTGTGCCTTTAATATTGTCTCTGAAAAACTGACAGCTCTCCTGAACTCCTTTATCCCTTAGATCAGTGGTCCCCAACCTTTTTCGTCTGGCAGGCCTTAGATTTTCTTCCCATGGAGTCTTTTTCGAGTTTTCCAAATTTTTTAAAGTCTGTATTTTTGAAGTCCATTGTCCTTATTCTGCTGCTCTCACTCCTTCCTTTCCTTAGAATCATCAGATCTATTATTTCATGATGATTTTCATCCAATTGCCTTCAGCTCTGCAGCCAATTCCTCCTTGTTAGTCAGAATCAAGTCTGAAACGGCTGTCCCACCTCCCCCAACCCCCATTACTTCCTGTACTTTCTGAAACAAAGAGTTGTCCCCAATACATTCCAAGAACTTACTAGGGATTCTGTGTTTTGCCATATTACTTTTCCACCCATGTCTGGGTACTTAAAGTCCCCCATTACTATCCAGTCCTGTGTTTTGAATATTTCAGTTATTTGTTCTAAAATTGCTTCATCCAACTCCTCTTCCTGATTCAGGGGTCTATAGTAGACCCCAAACATGACTTTGCCTGTTTTTTCCCCTTTTTATCTTCGCCTTACCCTTGTGTTGTTCTATTTTATATTAAAATCAACTTGTTTTGTGCTGCTCCAAAATTTGTATTTTCAACATGCTGAAGAATCTTGTATTGAAAACACATAATTGCAATGTAGAATTTCTCAGTGGGGAAGCTGGTTGTGTTGATAGCTTAGTAGGAGACAACCTGGGGTTTTTGGTAGCAGGGTAGAGGATAGCTGGAGTTTTGGGCTCTTGAAAAGATGTGGGAGGAAGTTTGGGACTGTGGCATAAACATTAGCTGGTTATTTCTGCTGACCTGATCAAAAATTCAATTGCTGACAATACTGACATTTTAACTGACATCAGTAGATTTCAAAGTTAAGTCTCTGCTGGAATGAATGGGGAGCAATTCACATGTCTCAGACCTATTATTTCAGGCTCTATGAAAACTCAGGCAGAATAACCTGCATCAGGTGCCCCCCTTTTCAAGTTTGGAAAGTTTCTTTCATAACCATATACGATTAGAAATTTATAGTTTTAATGCAATCTTGATCCTGCAGTCAACTTCATGAATTTCAGAATGCACAGGCCCCTGGTTAAAACAAAAACCAAAAACTCACTATAGAGATATTTACCTATTAAATTCCATAGATATTTAGAATAATTTCTATAAAACACTATCATTAAAATTCTATAAGACCTTTTCCTTTATGGAAAAAAATGTTTATATTTCACTAGTGTCAGTTGTGTATATACCAATGCACTGTGTGTATATAGGAGAAAAGGGAGTGTCCCAGGCAGCTCTGAGCTTTCTTGGCGATTTGCTTGTTTTCTCCATGTCATCAAATAAACACTACAACTAAATTCAACAGGGCATAACAGCACATCTATTACAGCTACACATTTCCCATCAGACTACCATTTTTTAGGCACATTTGGGATTAGAAGCAGAGGCTGTGGGATCATTTATAAACAGGTGGGTTAAGGAGCTTCAAAAATGTGTACACTGAATGAAAAAGAGACTGTTTCCTCTGAGTGGGATAGGATACTGGTGCCCGAATTCTTGTTAACAAGATGCTACATTATATAGCAACCAGGCCTTCATTCATGGAAAATGTTCACTTTCAACAATTTATGTCACAAATAAAGAAGCCTGTTTAATACACCTCCTCATGGCAGATTTCATGGCAAACCATAATTCGGGATTGGTTGTCTTGTTCAAACACAGGGGTGTTGCGAGGATGAACAAATTACAGACTGTTAGGTGCTCAGACACTCTGGTGATAGCGACCAGATAAGTACCTAAAATAGGAAGAATTATGGATCATTCCCTCAATGAAATGACAGCTATAGGGCCTTTTCATAAAGCACCTTCACACAAGTAACTTTACACACGAGTTGTCCCTTTGAGGTTGATGGTAACATCCCATTTTGAAGTTATGGGACTACTCAGGTAATAAAGTTAAGAGCTACAGGAACAGGCTCATATTCTCAGGTTAAAACCAAGCATCCTTTACTTACCTGTCTGTACTTGATCTTCAGATTATTTTCCCCTGCAGGAAATGTCCTCATCACCAAATGCCTAAAGAAATGCAGGAAAATGCTCTGGGCTTTAAAGGGTCAATGGAATCATGAACGCAGGCTTTGGCTGGAAAGTATGAGAGGAAATAGTTTTGCACATACTTACCTTTTAATCTGTACTTTTTTACCATATCAATCTAGATATACATCCTGTTGCTCATATGGGAATTTAAACAATATTCTTCGGATTATTAAGAATATGCTTTTCCATTCGCCTTTAACTAGAGACATTTATTAGTTCCACATTTCACTAACATTAATTACTGCTGGGAGCCATACATTCATGACTCATATGCACTAGAAACAGGCACTTGTGTAAACTTAAAATTCAGTCTGTCTTGATGTTGTTATAATCTGCTTGAAACTATCCTCTTTATTCAAAATAAATAAAGCCGATGACTACTACTTTCTCGGAGAATTTTTTTTAAGAAATCATTGCCATTTTGGTCAATCATACAGAAATCAACATACAAGGAGCTCTCCCTGCTAGTCTGATGCAGCAGTTGCTTAAAAAGGAGAAAACCCAATGCTCTCAGAGTGGCTTACATTAGTGATAAGGTTAAAAATACAAAGAAGATTAATGAATCATGAAGCCATGAGATTACAGACCATGAAGAGAAAAACAATGGAAGGAAAAGTTAACAGTGTCTCCTTAAATCTTCCTGGGGGGTGTATATGGATGAGATATTTCGGAAGGATTTATTCTTTAATTTGGGAATTAATTTAGGGCTAGGTGATAGTGAGGAACTCTTATTATGGCTTAAGTTGATTATGACACAAGCAATTGATGTTTGCCAAAAGACTTTCTATCTTGATTTGCAACACCTTTGTTACCTCTAGCATGATCACTTATCAGAAGAGCCAAACTGCAGCTTTTGTTTATATAGATTAGAATGAGACCATCAAAAGTATGGTCACTTATATCCTACAGCAGGATCATAAGCCAAATCTCTAGAGGTTAAAGACTCTTCACTGGGCATAGTCAATGGAAGTCTTTCTACTGATTCCAATGAGCTTCGCTTCAGGCCCTAACATGCTGACTAACAGCTGGTATGAATAAATAGTAGTAGTGATGAAAGTCAAGTTTCACCAATAGAATTCATTTCTGCTATGCAAGGTTTATCGTTCTTGCTGCCATATGTTTTGCTTTCCATAAAAGTGAACAATATTAGAAATTCCACTTCATACGGGAGGAATCTGACCCCCAAAAGTGCAAAGCTTAAGTTGACCATTGGCTAAAAGCCAGGGCAGTGTTTTGCTGTCTGGATCTAAAGCTGACTGAATTCATGCTCTCCAAGTCAAATCGTGAAGTGATGCTTTTGCAGACATTTGCTTTAAATGAGCTATTTGTTGACATTTTTTCTTGTAATGCAGGGTGTGGAGATAATTCAACTAGTCTACCAAGTTACAATAACATATTCCTAACGCAGCATTCAAATAATGTTTCTACTGCTTATTATAAAGACCTAAGACAATATTTTAAACATACATTTTTCAAAGTTCAAAGTATTTGATCCTATTTGGAGGAGAGGAAGGGTTGAACTGTTTGAAATACAACACTGCTCGTAATAAGATATGTAGCATGAGCACCTACTTTGGAATTTGTTCTGTCACTGTGTAATACCTTGGGGAGCTGTGGGCCCCTATATAGTGTACCTTGTATGCCTAGAACTTATTTCTTTACTATTATCCAGTAAAAATCCTTTCATCTCCATATAATTAAATTTCTTCTGTTTTCTTGGCCACCAAAGAGGCCTTGGGCAACCTCTGTCTATCATATGGCAGATTCTATTCCATGGATAGTTACAGTAGCATGAGTTTATGCCAGTGGTTCACAAACTGGGGAACATGCAAGAGATTCTCTGGGAGGCACAAAGAAACTGGGATCCCATAGGTCCCACAGGCCCCTCAGGATAATAACGGGAGCAGGATAAAAATAGAATGGGTATTGCAGGGCAGGACAGGAGCGGGATGGGGAAAAAAATAATCCCCCCACGCCACAAACAACATGAATGCCCGAGCCAGCAGCTCTCCGGCCACCCAGCTCTTAAGGCAGCACCGCCATTAGCAGCAGCACAGCAGTAAGGATTACTTCAGATTACAAAGGGGTGGGGGGGAACAGCATGATAAATTCCCTGAATGGTAAGGTGGATGTGACTAGAAAAGTTTGCACACCACTGCTTTATGCTGTCCTTTGCCATGCTTCTACTCTGTAGATTTCCTCAGATCTCAATCTGATCACACAAGGTTCTATGATCTCTGTACACCAAGGTGATGTGTCCTTCAAGAAAAGCAGGTAATGAAACCTAAGGCGGAAGGTCTTCATGGTTACAGTGCTTTTGCCCAGACATTTGCTGAGGGATAGGATGAGCTCATCTTCAAGGAAAAAAAAAAAAAAGAGGAGGCTTGAGTCAACAACTGGATATGTCTCATAGCCTCTTAGCATCTGCTGTAGAAGCAGTGTGATTCAGTGGGCAGGGCTTTGGCCTGGGACTCAGGAAAACTAAGTTCTTGGTGGGGGCTTCTAGCAGGGCCGGGGCCTCCATTAAGGCAAACTAGGCAGTTGCCTAGGGCGCCAAGATTTGGGGGCACCAAAAAGTGGTGCCCCCAATTTTTTTTTTACAGCGTTCCTACACCCCCACCCCAAGCGCATGGTCGCTGCTCCACTTCTCCTGCTTCCCAGACTTGCAGTGCCAATCAGCTGTTTGGCGCCGCAAGTCTGGGAGGGGAGGAAAATTAGAGCGGGGGCGGCGTGCTCGGGGAGGAGGCGGAGCAGAGGTAAGCTGGGGTGGGGAGCTGCCGCTGGGGGGGGGGCGCCTCAGGGCAGAGGGTGTGTGTGCAAGGTGGAAGTTTCGCCTACGGTGAGAAACTTCCTTGCACCGGCCCTGGCTTCTAGGCAGTATTTGTAATATGGACATTAGCAGGAAACAACCATATTAGGAGATATAAGGGGTTGCTACTATGCCTCCACTGAAAAGAGTGTTGGACAGGACTCCATCAGTAGATGGGCCTATATACACGATAGGATACTTACAGCTGGAAAATAGGATCAAATATTATTACATCAAGTCACCAACATTTTGGTGGAAACCTCCAATAAGAAAGGATGCCTGCTCTTCAAAATGATGCTTTGCAGGTATTAAAATCTGATGCAGTAACTCTGTTTCCCCAAGACAGTGGAACAAGGAAGGCAAACTATTGTAGCATCTATGCTAGCTGGTGTCTTGGAAACAGTGAAGAAAGTCTAAGCAATTGATTAAATGTTTCAAACGTTTGGACATTGCTGTGTAAACTGAACCATTTCTTTAGACAATTGATCAAATGGATTATTGCCTTTTAGACTAAAGAGAGACAGAATCTCCCAAACTTTAAACAAAAAAGTTTTAAAAAGTTGGAGAAAATTCAGGAAACCTTACTGGTTTATTTTTAATTCTACGGGCATTTGCCTACTTCCCAAGGATGTTATGAGGTTTAAGCAATGTTTGCAAAGAATGTCATGCTCCTCCGATTAATAGTGCAAATATTTGAATCTAATAACAGTAAAGTGCTTCATAAAGAGGGATATAGAATCATGAACTCCATTTTGGTGAAGGGTAGATGGTCAAGGTTAGGCAGTGAACCAATGGCAGACTGGGAACACACCCAGGTCTCCTACCTCCAAGACTGGTGTGCCATCGGAAAATAATGCCTCCCTATTTGCCTACAAGCAAGTGCTATCTTCACAGGTACAGGACCTGGCTCCGAGAAAGGTGAGGGCACCAGGCTGCTAAAATGCATTGACTGACATCATATCTTTGCCATGCCAAGAATGGAGGATTTGAATGATCACCCTGCTCTTTTAGGCTCTGATCCTGCCAAGAGCTGCATGCTGGCAGGCCCCTGCATTCTCGTGGAGGTCACTGCAGAATCGGGGCCTTTAAAAGCAGTTTGCCACAGCAGCATTTCTCTTCAGCATGTTAGAGGCTGAGTTCCTGCTGAAGAGAGAGACTTTCTTCTAGGTGGCAACATACATTATGGAAAACTATTCTGCAGTTCAGGGATTCTTGCCTTCACTCTCAGATTGCCTGCAGAAAGAAGAACAGCAGCTTTGCAGAAAGGCGTTGCTGGGGAGCACGGATCACTTATAGGAACCAGGAGCAGTGGCCAAACGATCGCTTATTCCAGAATATAAACAATGTCCCTGTGCTTTCTATGCTCGCCTCATTGATATGATTGGTATTGCCATTCTTTCCATGTCAGTAGGATGCTGGGATTTTAGCTTATTTGTCAAAATGAAAGGAGTTGGCCCACAGATACATTTCTCTGCCGTTCCCAACTTAAAAAGAAAGGCACCCAGGACCAGTAGGTTGAACGGAAAATGATGGTGATTTCACTCTATTCCATTAAATAAAATGTAATACCATTCAACTTGAATTGGGCCTTTGGCATCCACCCAAACACTGCAATCTCTTGCATAGAAAGAAAAGAAGATATGCTTCATGCATATGTACGAGACAGTGGAATAAAACAGGAGTTGTCGGAAAGTTGCCACAAAAGCTGTATGCAAGAATTGCCAATGAAAGCTTTTCTTTGCTACTGCGGAGACTAATTAAAAATGACAAGATTTGAGGATACATGGCATGTGACGAGAACCTTCTACCTTCCTTCAAACCAGAAAATTAAGTGCCATATCAAACGGAGACTGAAGGACAAGCGAACAGTCTGAGAGTTTAAGGCAGTGTAAAAATCTGCAAGACCTTTTTATAATTCACAAAAAATGGTTTATCAAGACTACAATACCCTAAATTAGACAGGACGGAGACCTCAGCTATCATCTTTTTATCATTAACTATTTAGTTAGTTATAACTTTAAGATGGTAGCTTAAAAGGAAGCCATGAATATTCTTATACACTTAAAGTATCATCACACTCACACACACACAAAAAAGTCAGCAACATTTGCTAAATATGCAGTTAGTGTTCACTTCAGAACACCTGATTAAGGACCAGATCAGCATTGCA